GCAAATATGTATTTCGTGTAAATTGAGTCTGCTTTTCAAACAGATTCTCATAAAATGCGTCATTTTACGTTCTCCAGTCGTCGATAGACGGCAAGGCATTCTCCACTGACAGTTTACCGCTCCTAAAACTAAGAGAATCTCGATGACGCCTACGATCCAATTAGAACATTCGACGAGCATCGCCCGAATTTCGTTCGCAATCAATCGGGGCGAAAGCCGAACTGACAGCGCAGACGACAGAACACGATAAACAGCGAAAACGAAATAAACTCAAAAACGTCACGATAAAACGCGAATCTGTAGCACGTTGGTTAAGTTTTGAATATAGTCTGTCGGTCGTTGAATCAAGCATCTAAATTCATTTGAACGGGTTAATGCTCGGAAGCGTCAATTTGGCACGTTCCAAATTCTTTGATTTACGATTATTGAAATTATGAAGACACATTTGTGGGGAATTCATCCGATGAAATTGTTTCTTTGGACATCGATTGTAATAAAAATTGCGAGAAAGCTGCACAAATATGTGCTTTGCTTGACATATTTATATGAAGTTAGTGCTCCGTAAACCTAGCGTGAGATTCAACTTCGTCGGCGAACCTGTAACTAAATCTACCGTACCGATCAAAATGATCGGTTTCTAATCTTTTATTTGAAACATGTGCAAATTACGAAGACCTTTTTATAGAAAACAATTTAATGAACTTCTCAATTCATGCAATTGCTATATCAAAATTGCCAAAAGGTCAGAATAAATTCAATCTTCTCATTCCAAACTAGTTGAGAAGAACCGAAAAAAATCTGTCAGCTGTTAGAACATAGTCGTATCGATTATTTCATCCTGCAGAAATGTCGATGAGAATGTCGTTATTAACCAGACTCAGAGCTGATAATACGATCGCTACACAATTTCCCAGAAGAATTTCACAATTATAAAATAAAGAACAGAAACATACTATTTCAAATACTACTTCAAATAATGTCATTTCGAACGTGTCCGGGTGTGATTTAGTCATTGTTACACTGTGATCCGTGTTCTCTAATTACAAACTACCGTTTCCCAACCGTTTCTTATTACCGTTTCTTAATACACAGCACAGTACAGTAAATTCTCCCAAATTTGTCTTCAGCTTATAAACAAAAATAGACATTGTGAGAAGAGGAGATACGATTATTCGAGCCTCGCGCCTCGTTCTTATAATCCTCGACAATCGGCAACTATAAAAATGAGCCGCGAGACTCGAATAATCGCATCTCCTCTTCCCAAATAGTCCATTCTTGTTTACAAGCTGAAGAAAAATGGAGAATTTATTGTATATCCGAAATGCGTGACCAAAACCAAGAACCAAAAAATAACACTTACGGAGTCGATATAAAAAACCGAAACCGTTGTCATAACCGTTTTCGACCACTGGTTGATATTATCGTAGGTGAGCGAATCGGGACTCACGAGATCGCTAAATTTGGCATAGGAATTTGCAATATTCGAGGACGCGCGACAGTATCTGGGTCGAGTATCGCCGGCCAAATTTTTGCCCGCGTCCTCGTATCGCGGAAGCACTTCCCGCTGTCGAGACCCACTCGTGGAAGGCGTATGAGCACGAAGGGATCGGCGTGTGCGTGCGGTAAGGACGACGAAGAGCCCCAAGACGAGCAGAAGCGTGTGCCGAGGCTCTAGAAATGTACACGGATTTGCCGGGAGCAAGAAGGATTCGCCGGCAGCCATCGACCGATCACAAATAGACACACAGCGTCGATCCAGGGGATCCGGGACCGTCGGGAAACTCGTGGCGCGTGCCGCGACATCGCGCGAGCAGATTTCTCCGTATCGAGCGATATTGGAATCGGAAAGTAGATTTTTCGACGGCGTTATCTTCCGACGGAAGTTCCGGCGAAAAGATCCCCGTCGAATCGGCGGGACGACGCGTCGACCCCGAATGAATCGATATGGCCGCGATTCGAACCCGATTCTCGCCCTCATCGAAACTTTCCTCTCGCCTCCCAAGCCCACCCAGCCTTCTCCCGGACCCCCGGCGCTGTTAACCTCTGTTTCGCGCTCGCGCGAGGCAAACTTTCGTATTCCGCGAGATTGCCGGCCGCCTTTCTCCGAAAAGAAGCTCCGGCCTGGAACGAGATCAAAGTTTCGCCATCAAAAAACGACGGGAACAACAATGCGGGTCTTCAATTAAGTTGGGATCCGCGCGGCGCGTCGGCTTCAATTTCCAGTGTGGCGCGCACACACGTCCGTGTGCCCTTTTCATCGGCGTATTTCCCGGCGCGCTCGATACTCCGCAGCCACGCGATTAGAGAATGCTGCTAATATTCCGGGTCGATCGCGCGAAATAATTGCCGGGGAAGCGGGAGATGTGGCTGCGCTGCTCGAGGAGCTAAATAGGAAGTAGATACCCCGGGAAAAATGAAAATTTCGATACGTTTCCGCTCGAGACGACCGCTATCTCTACCTCCCCTCCTCCTGCCCCTCGGCGCCGGCTCTCTCTCTCTCTCTCTCTCTCTCTCTCTCTCGCTCGCTCTCTCTCGTTTCTCCGATAGGACGAGGATGGAGGAAAAAAGAACAGCTCCCGCCGCGAAAATGTCTTCAGCTCGTTAGGAACTTAACGAGAAGAAACGCGAGCGGTGGATAGGGGCGGCAATGGCGAACCGAGAGAAGAGAGAACCGGAAGAAAAAGAGGAAGAGAGAGGGAGAGAGAGAGGATAAAGGCCGGTGTACGAGCTGCTCGAGAGCCTTTCGAAGTTGGAACTGTGCTCGGTAATACCGGCCCGACCGAAATGGTCGAGTATACTAATCCGACTGTAATAATGGTGTACGCGAGCTCATCGCGCGAGCGGCTACGCGCCTCATCGCGTTCCGCTATTACTCCGCCGGACAGCCGTCCGACCACTCGTCCGAGTCGCTTTCAAACTCATTATACGATTTTTAATACAGGCGCGAGCTTGTCCGGCCCTCGTGTGTGCCGGACTCGTCGCGCGACGGATCAAACACCGCGCCTGGACACGAAACACACCCCCGAGGACCACCCTCGTCCTCCCCATCCGTCTCGCACCTTTCATGGAATCGGTCCGCCGGTTTCCGCGGATGTGTAATTAGCCCGCGCTTCCCGGCCAAACGACGAGAAAATTCGCCGGAGCAACATTAGGTTGTTTCTACGGCCGGATGCGCATCTAGAGATGATTAATCGATGTTTACGACGCAGAACCGACAAGATAGTAACCCGGTTCGTAATGCATTACAGCTTGAACACTGGCGAACGACAGTGAGGAATTATGGCCGCGGAACAATGCGCACGGAAATTTAGGCGGTCGTTTAGGAGCGTTAAGAATCAGGCTGCGCACCGAAAAGCGTGGACGGATGTCGGTTTCAGCGCTGTTCTCGATACCTATCGTTCAGGAATGTTGGGAACTTCGTTTTTTCAAAGTGTAAAAGATCGCTATTTTTAAATGTGAGCTTAACGATACGGTAAATTCTCCTCAATTTTCCTTCAGCTTGTAAACAAAAAGGGACAATTTGGGAAGAGGAGATACGATTACTCGAACCTCGCGGCTCATTTTTATAGTTGCCGATTGTAAATTATTATAAAAACGTGGTGCAAGGCTCGAATAATTGTATCTCCTTTTTCCAAAATGTCCAGTTTTGTTTACCAGCTGAAGAAAGATTAGGGAGAATTTACTGTACTTGGCTTGGTATCGTCGGCAAAATCTTAATACAAAAGGATTTATTAACACTGGATTTACGGAGTACAAGAAACAGCTGTTTTATATTGGTTTATAAAAGTAACAATAAAACATTTATTCTGATTTTTAACATGCTATTGTAACATTTGCCGCAAGTAATATATAAATTGAATAAATAACTCATAAATGTGTCTTTACGATATGAATAATCGTAAATTACAAAATTAGTGATTTTGACGAATTCTGTAAATCTAGTGTTAAAAGCAATCCATGCGATTCTAAATAAGATACAGTTAGATGATTTTACTAGTAAAAAAGATGAACGGTTATCTGGATTTGATTTCCAAATTTTCACCGCAACAGATGAACGCCTCTTGATTTACAAGTCTGTTTCTCGGTTAAAACTTGAGACATCGAAACGAAACTAAAGACAGATGGTAAACGAAAGTTGTCTCTACATCGCGTACGTTGTTCCAAATTTTAGGAGACTCATTAACACTTCGACTGCCTCGCCAACGACCTAACGATTTTCATACGATTCAAGTATTTTATTCGATGAAATAAAAATTGAAAAATTAAGTTAAATGACATCAATGACATTTTCAACCTTCTCATGTTTCGCTGATCTCACAATTAGGACGATATAACGCATTGTCGTGACAATGGATTTCCGAATCTAAACAAATAACTCTGTCGACCAAAGTATTACTCAAAGAACACGCAAAAATTGGAAAAGTAGTTCGAGGATTGCGCAAATTTATGAACCTTTGAGCGGACGTTGCAGTTCGATATTTGATCGATGCGAATCCTGTTCGATCCGCAGAACCTGCTCGTGAAAAATTGAACAGGGACGGACACATGCCTGCAGCGGCGTCGGGCATGGCCTACGCTAAGCTGTTCATAAATCCGTCGGTGTCCCACGTTCGCCGTTTCCTTCTTAGCAGCCGTTCTCGCGATTTGCATACCAAAGACTAATCCTTGCGCGCGGGCGCTCCCGCGGCCGAGAACCCGATTGAAATGAAAATGCACGGGTTCTCGGCTCGAGTCCGCGGCGGGGCGCACGCGCGGCTATCATTTTCTTGCCTGGCGAACAAAGCTCGAACGCCGCGCGATTTATGCGCGAGGAAAGAACGCGCGTTGCACGCGTGGGGGTGCGCAAAACAAACGGGGGAGGTCGCGAAAGAGGGCAGAGTGCCGCGCGGACAAAAAAAAATGTACACACGGGACACACGAAGGGCGTGGACGGGAATTATGCGCATAACGTTTTTCGAACGCGAGAGCTCACCATTATTTTTCTCTGGTTTGTGTTGCAGCGACGGCGGCGTGGCCGAGGCAGGAGCAGCCGTGCCCGATCGCCGGTGACTTCTGCATGAACGGCGGTACCTGCCTGTTTTTCGAGACCGTCGGTGAACCAGCATGCAGGTGAGCCATACACCGTACATTTTACCGGGTCTCGTTCGCCAGACCATTCGCGATTTACCGGCTTCTTCGTGAACTACAGTAATTTCTCCCGGAAATGCCAAATTTCGGGTTGCTGGGAATTTCCTTGTGCCAATCCTACGCCTATGTAATTTATTGCTTCGTCGATGCTAAGGTCGACGAAGTCGATCAAGCGTGTGATGCGGCACGCGACGCGAATTCTCGTAAAACAACACAAAATGTGTTGTTTTATAAGAATAGCATGACCGAGTTTATTTAGCCACTTCGCCATTTTCATTCGAACAGTTATGCTTGAATTGAGAAATCTGTTCGATCATTTGCTAGAAAAGAGTCCTTCTAATTCCAGCAACTTTGAAACAGAAAATATGTAACCGATTATTTTTACCGGTTCGATAGGTTTGATATTGAAACGTCTCTCCTACTTTTACGATACTTCGAGAATTTTTTCGATATAAAACTAATGAACGTAGAATCTTTGTAGAACACGGGACAGCTTTCTCCACGTAAAAATAACAACTCTATCCCGAGTTATAAATAGACTGCGGATTCTTACGCTAAATAAAAACTGCTGCGTCGATTGTGTGTTGTATTAATTACAAAATAATAATTCTAATAAATTGATATTGATGCAACGGTATTTTTAAACTCTTTAAATATTCTTTTACGTTTCATCTTATAATTTGTTATATAAATGCATAAAACCCGCAGTCTGTGCAGTTATAATCGTCCAACCGGATCGATGTGTATACAATTTTAATGCAAAGAAACTAAACTCAGCTGCAAAACTAAAACTATCCAAAGAATTAAAATAGAAAAATTTGAGAGAAATCGACGTATCGAAGCCGTCGGAATACGGAGAGCTCCCGGAAGTACGTAGCAGGCTATCGACGCGTTTCCGACAGGGAATCTGCGATTTTCCTAGGAACCAAAGATACGGCGAGGTCGGGTCGAAAATATTGAAACAAACGGGCAGGAATCGGTTTCTCGACGGCCGCGACCGGACAAGGTTCGCGAGTGATACCGTCCAGCCGAAATTGAGTTTCGCTTCTTGTTACTTCCTTTTCGACCTGCTGGGTATCGCAGGCGAGATTGGAGAAGGTTGAGAAAGGTTGGTCGAGGTTCCGCGGGACTCTCGTTGCCGATTCCGTGGAGCTCGATGAAAACGACGGCTCCGCTGACCTCTCTCCACAGCGAGGCCCCATCCACTGCGCCCTTCGTCTCGCTTCCTTGCCCCATCTATTAGAGAGCACACGCCTCGCTCCGGCCGCTTCTCTTATATTCTATTCCCTGTGGCTTCCCGCGGACCGTCGCTTTACCCTCTTTATTTAACGAACTATCCCTCCGTTTGTTCCCTCCCGGGGGAGCGGCGACGAGCCCATCCCTCCCGCGGCCGTCTCCCCAGCCGGTGTGCTCCGGATTTCTGCTAATCAAACTGTTTGTCCGTGGCAGGAATTAGATCATCCGACCGCGTCAGCGACTTCAATTATTTGCTGCTCACCCCGCATATTCGTGCGATCGCTCGAATTTCGGGGCTGGTTAACCGGCGGCGATCGTCGATCGAACGAACGAACGAACGGTCAGGTCAAGACGGGGCGCGAATCCGTCGACGGGAGAACAGAGAAATCCGTCGGCGGGATCGTCTCTGTTCCAGCCGAGTTTCATAAAAAATTCCACTGGTCGAGGCAAATGGATTTTTTACGTTCCGCACGCGCGTTTTACGCTCCCCACGGAATTCCCAGCCGGCTCGCCCGAAATTTCCCGGCTCCGCTCTGCCGAGCCGCGTCGGTTTTACAGCTCTTTTCGAAAATTAAATTTCTTCGATCGCGCAGCGCCCGGCAGCGCCGATCCGCATCCGAACGAGACCCGGCCGTGTACATATCGAGCCGTCATTGGCTTAATTGAAAAAGTTTCGATGATCGGTCGCCGTCGCGGAAATTAGCCGTACGACGAGCCGCGCCGCGGGTGGACGGACACGGTGTTCCACTAGGGGGTGTGCGTCTCGGCCCCGTGTCCCCTGGGTTAAAAATCACGGAGGACCGCGGGAGAAAAAGTTCGCCAATATCAAAGTAAACACACTCGTCGGGGCAACGGGTTCCCCGGCGAAACTCGCAAACACTCGACTCGTTAATTTCGACGGAACCAGAGAGGAGAGAGACCGGTCGCGCTCTCCCGCTCCCTCTGCCTCCTCCCCTTCTACGCCACCCCCCTCGCTGCGCCCCGCACACGCGTATGCACTCGGCATTATTTCATCGGCAAGACGAACTTTTCGCAGTTTCCGCTCGGTCGATGTGAACGCCGGAAAAAAAAGCGCGGCTCGCCCGGACTGGGGCGGGGCACAGCTTTGTCAGCGAATTTTGACATTAATTAGGCGCTCGTCGAATAAATTTGAAACTCGCCGGGGGAACGGGTCGATCGACTGCTAAAAATGACCGCCGCTGCGAGGCCGGAGGGAACCTGCGACGGCGAAACGCGCGGCCAGACGCGACGAGGAGGTCTGCGAACGGGCACCACGCCACTGGTTGACGAGGGTTTATTGGCTTTATCGAGGAATCAGGTCGTCCCCGAGGAACAAGGGTTCACAGGGACAAGACGAAAGGGGTGGGATGAATGGACGTCGGACAAATGAGAGCGAGCCGTGTGCAGCGGCCGATCGCGCCCAAGATACTTTTACAAATGACTCGAACGACGGCGTTCCCATTCAGCCGGAAGAAACTGGGCTGGAAAAGGTGGTCGGGAATTTCAAAGACCACGCAGATCGGCTTCGAATGGACCATCCAGTGTCACCGCCGAAAAGCACACATCATTGGGAAAATAAAGAAAGAACTGGCACGAGGAGCATCGAACGTGAGCGCTCGAATAGAACTTGCTGTTAGTCACAGTGCTGGATTACTCCTTCCCTGGTTTGGACGGTAAATAATGATGTATGTGCCGACTGTGCCAAACTTTAACGCTTTGGCTTCCACATCGTCAGCCTTAAGGATTTCGCGGGATTAAAACATTTTAATTAAATTGAAATTAAAACGTTAAGCTGAATGATCAATTACTTTTTTTAACATTCTTACGTCTCGTGGATTCTAGTCGAATTAACCTTCAAGTGGTGAACACCGTTTTGACACTAGATCTACGACTTATTTTGACTTAGATACAAAAAACAGCTGTTTTATGTTAGTTCATGAATGTAACAATAAGACGTTTATTCTGATTTTGAGCGAGTGTTATTGTAATATTTATCGCAAGTAACACACATATTGAATACATAACTCATAAAAATTCATCTTTACGCAATCTGGATAATCGTAGATTAAGAATTTAATGACCCGTCATTTTAACGAGTTCAGCAAACCTAAAGTTGACAATATCGAGATTGTAGAACGAATTTAAATTGAAGCTCCGATTTTTGTAGCGTAAAGATAGTTTCTACGATGAACGCGTTGTACTGTTCAGTGTTATTGTAACATCTGCTGTAAGTAACATATAAATTGAATGAATAACTCATAAATGTATCTTTACGACATGAATAATCGTAAATTAAAAAATGTACGTCATTTGACGCAAGACCCGTCATTTTGACGGGTTTCGTAAATCTAGTGTTAATATCACTAGTGGTAACGTGACGCCAACGGCTCTGTATCGGTTATGATGACTTTACCTCGAATTGACCCCGACTTGATGTCAAACTGACTCCGTATAAATAGTGGTACCATGAGCGATACAGAGTTATTTTGGCGGCAAGTCACCGCTATTGATGCAGAGTCAATTTGACGTCAAGTTACCATTTATTGATACGGACTCAATTTGCCGTCAAGTCGCTGCTATTGCAGTGACACGGAGCCAATTTAACGTACATCGCCACTAGTGTTAGAAGTCAATTTAAGTTACGTCACCACTCTAAGGTTAAGATTAGCGTGAAAATTAAATTTCAAGTCTATGCAATTAATTCTATCGCCTACATACGCGTGACGCGGAAGTCAAAGTGTTAAGCGCTGCTTTCGCCTCTAGAATGTGATCGATATCCACTAAAAGAAATACGTGAACAACTACAGTAATGTCTCCCTTACTGACGCTTGTCAGATTGTCCACTAAAATGGATAATTTGGTAAGAGGAGATACGATTATTCGAGCCTTGCGGCTCGTTTTTATAATTGTGGACAATTTATAACTATAAAAATAAACCGTAAGGCTCGAATAATCGTATTAAATAAATAAAATATATGTAGTTTAAATAAATATCCTCTTCCCAAATTGTCCATTTTTGTGGTCAATCTGGGCGTCAATTAGAGAGACATTACTGTAGAACTATGTTTTTCGAACATATCGTTAAGATCTGTTAACGACATTTCGGCATCTTTCCTTGCTGGAGTGACTTATTTACATGTAAAACGTATTCATGCAACGATTCAAACGTCATAGAATCGAATGATAGAGATTCTACAGAATGTTTTTGTTATTTCGTGTTTCGATCTACTCGTTCTCCCCACGTATGCATCAAATCTGCACTCTCATTCGCAGAAGAAACATCGTTCCGGCGAAAACGCTTAAATTTGTTGGTTATAGTTTCGGGCTATCTAACATCGGGCAAACTGCTAATCGAGGTATCAGCCTGCAAGAAGACGCAGCAAAGAGGAGCATCGATTTTTCGATCGCGGCACAGTTCGCAGCCGAGAGACCGCTTAAGCCTGGGAGTCGGTAACAAAACGAGGCTGCCCGTCTCCCAGCCGAGTCCCTATTTCTCCTGGCGAACTATTTCTTTCCGTTGTTGCCAATAAATCAGGGAGCGTATCTCCGGGAATCCTCGATTTATGGATTTCCAGTGGCTCGTCTTTACGCGGAATAAATTTCCCCTCGCGATCGTGATCCCGATAAACTCGCTATAACCTCGCGCGCGATCCGTGCAAGAAGAGAAAAGGGGCGGAGAGGTTCCTCGCCGAAAAAACGCCGAGCAGGATCCGTGGATCGTGTCGATCGAGGATCACGCCGGCAGA